CTAGCCTATTAATAGTGCTGCAGCAAAACATGGCAGTGCAGATATCTCTTCAATATACTGATTTCCTTTCTTTTTAGGTATGTACTTTGCATTGGGGTCACTGAATCATATGGTAACTCTATTTTTATTTTTTGAGGAACTTCCATACTGTTCTCCATAGTAGTTGTGATATATATTCCTATTAGTTCTTTCTCTCTCGAGAACCATGTATATATTTATTCTCCTATTCTGTCCCTCTGGAGAATGTTAATACGGTAGTTGTACTAATGTACATTCTCACCAGCAGTGTATGTGGGTTCCCTTTTCTCCACATTCTGATCCGCATTTGTTACTGCCTGTCTTTTGAATATAAGCCATTTTAAATGCAGTGAGATGATAACTCATTGCAGTTTTGAATCACCTTTCTCTGGTGGTAAATGATGTTGAGCACCTTTTCATACACCTGTTTGCCATTTGTATGTCTTTTTTTGAGAAATGTCTATTCAAATTGTTTGCCCATTTTAAAATCAGACTATTGGATTGTTTTCTACAGAATTGTTTGAGCTCCCCACGTGATCTGGTTATTAATCCCTTGTCAGATGGGTAGTTTGTCAACATCTTCTACCATTGTGTGGAGTGTCTCTTTACTTTGTTGATAGTTTTCTTTGTGGTGCAAAAGCCTTTTTTCTTCATTAGATCCCATTTGTCCATTTTTTCTTTGGTTGCCTGTGTTTGTGGGGTATATTGCTCATAAAATTTTTGCCCAGACCAATGTCTTAGAGAGTGTCCCCAATATTTTCTTACAGTAGTTTCATAGTTTGAGGTCTTAGATTTAAGTCTTTAATCCATTTTGATTTGACTTTTATATATGGAGAGAGAGAGAGACAGAGAGAGAGAGAGAGGTCTAGTTTCATTCTTCTGTATATGGATATCCTGTATTCCCAGTATCATTTATTGAAGAAACTATCTTTTCCCAGGTGTGTGGGTTTGTTTCTGGCTTCTGTGTTCTGTCCCATTGGTCTATGTGTCTGTTTTTCTGCCAGTACCGTGCAGTTTTGGTTGTTATAGCTCTGTAGTATAATGTGAAGTTAGGTAATGTGATTCTTCTAGTTTTTGGTTCTTTGGTGGTTTCATACACTTTTTAGACCTATTTTTTTCTATTTATGTGATGAACGCCATTGGTATGTTGATGGGGATTGCATTGAATCTGTAGGTTGCTTTGGGTAGTATGGACATTTTTACAATATTGATTCTTTTGATTCATGAACTGTGAAATCTTCCCATTTTTTGTATCCTCTTCCATTTATTTTATCAGTGTTGTATGGTTTTCATTATAGAGATTTCCTACTTCATTTGTTAATTCCTAGCTATTTAATTTTGTGGCTATAGTACGTGGGATCGCTTTTTCAAAATTTATTTTTCAGATTATTCACTTACATATATAGAAATGCTACTGATTTTTGTGTGTTTTTTATCCTGTAGCTTTACTGAATTTGTTTGTCAGTTCTAATAGTTTTTTGGAGGAGTCTTTAGGTTTTTCCAAATGTAAGAGCATGTCATTTGCAAACAAGGATAATTTGAATTCTTCATTTCCAATGTGATGCCCTTTATGTCTTTCTCTTGTCTGATTGCTCTAGCTAGGACTCTGCTGAATAATAGCCGTAATAGTCGTGGAAGTGAGCATCCTTGTCACATTCCAGATGTTAGAAGAAAGGCTTTCAGTTCTCCCCCATTCAATTTGATACTAGCTGTGGATGTGTCATATATAGCTTTGATTATGTTGAGGTATATTTCTCCTATATCCAGGTTTCTGAGAGTTTTTATCATGAAGACAAGTTGCATTTTATCAAATGCCTTTTCAGCATTGATTGAAATAATCATATGGTTTTTGTCCTTTGTTCTGTTGATGTGATGTGTCACATTGATTGCTTTATGTATATTGAACCATTCTTGGATTCTTGGCATAAATCCTGCTGGGACATGATGAATAATCTCTTTATGTATTGTTAAATTCATTTTGCTAGCGTTTTGTTGAGAATTTTTGCATCAACATTTGTCAGAGACGTTGGCCGTTAGTGTTCTTCTTCTTCTTTTTTTTCAGTGTCTTTGTTTTTGTAACAGGATAATACTTCATAGGATGAGTTTGGAAGTATTTTCACCTTTTTAATTTCTTGGAATAGTTTGAGTAGGATTGGTGTTAGTTCTTCTTTAAAGACTTGGTAGAATTCATCAGTGAGGCCATCAGGTCCTGGGCTTTTCTTTACTGGGAGACTTTTTATTACAGCTTTAATTTCATTACCTGTTATTGGTCTGTTCAGGTTTTGGATTTCCTCCTGGGTCAATCTTGATAGATTGTACATGTCTAAATTTGACCATCTCTTCTAGATTTTCCAATTTGTTGGCATATAGTTGCTCACAGTAACCACTAATAAGCCTTTGAATTTCTGTGGTATCCATTGTAATGTCTCCTCTTTCATTTCTAGCTTCATTTCCTTGAATCTTCTCTCTTTTTTTTCTTAGTCTCACTAAAGGTTTGTCAATTTTATTTAATTTTTCAAAAAAAACCCCTTGTATTTCCTTGATCTTTTGCATTTTTTTCATCATTTTAATTTCATTTATTTCTGCTCTGATCTTCTTATTTCCTTTCTTGCAAGAATTTTGGGTTTGGATTGCTCTTCTTGGTTCTTTAAGATGCATCCTGAAGTTGTTTATTTGAAGCTTTTCTTCTTTGTTGATGTAGACACTTACAGCTATAAGCTTCCTTTCTGGTAATGCTTTTTCTGTACCGCATAGGTTTTGATATGTCGTGTTTCCATTATCATTTGTTTCAAGAAATTTTTCAATTTTCTTAATTTCTTCATGGACCCATTGGTCATTCAAGAGCATATTGTTTAATTTCCATGTATTTCTATAGTTGTCAAAATTCCTGTTACTGATTTCCAGTTTTATTCCATTGTGGTGAGAGAAAATGCTTGATATTACTTCAATTTTTGGAATGTTTTGAGACTTGTTTTCTAACCTAACACATGGCCTGTCCTTGAGAATAATCCATGTGGTGGTGAGAAGAATGTGAGGATGAAAGTTCTGTAAATATAAGATTTATTTGGTCTATAGAGCAGATTAAATCTAATTTTTTTTGGCTGATTTCCTTTCTGGGAGATCTGTCCAATTCTGAAAATGGGATATTGAAGTCTCTGGCTATTATTGTATTGGTATCTTTCTCCTCAGCGGTGGTAATGTTTGCTCTGTATGTCTAAGTACGCCAGTGTTGAGTGCACATGTATTTACAATTGTTATATTCCTTTGCTAAATTGACCTCTTTGTCATTATATAGTGACCATCTTTGTCTCTTCTCATAGTTTTTGTCTTGAGATCTATTTTGTCTGATATAAGTGTAGCTACTGCTGCCCTTTTGTGGTTTGTATTGGCCTGGATTATCTTTTTCCATCCCTTTATTTTTGTTTTATTTATGTCATTATAGATGCAGTGTATTTCTGGTAGTCAACACGTCATTGGGTCTTGTTTGTTTATTTCAATTTAGCCTCTCCACTTTTGGATTGGAGAGTTTAATTCATTTACATTCAGTGTTGTTATTGGCAAGTAAGGACTTCCTCCTGCCATTTTGTTAGTCATTTTTCCTTTCCTTTTTCTTTCTTTCTTTCTTTCTTTCTGTCTCTCTCTCTCTCTCTCTCACCTTGCCCTTCCCTCCCTCCCTCCTTACGTCCCTCCCTCCCTTTTAGTAAAGATAATTTTCTCTGATAATATGATTTACTTTATTGCTTCCTATTTTTTGTGTGTACATTTGTCTGCTTTTTGGTTTGAGGGTACCATGAGGCTTGTGAATAGTATCTTGTAACCCATTATTTTAAGCCAATAACAACTTGACACTTTTTATAAATAAACAAGCAAAAAAAAAAAAACAAAACAAACTATAACATTGATAGTGACTCTACCTCCCTGTGGCCCAGCTGATACCTGAAGCCAACAAGTCTCAGAATTTCAACCAAGGCCCACAACATAGTACCTGGGTATCACTGCTGGTTATTCGGGGCTCAAGGGTTTTTCTCTTACCAGGTAATGAATCTTGCCAGGACTGGGTCCTTTTCTTCAAGGCAGCAGGTTCCCTTCAGGCCCATTGTGAGTCTAGAAATTTTGTCTGGGAACTAGGGCTTGAAACAGGGGCCTCAGTACTCTGACTTGGGCACTATACTGCTGTGGCTGAGCTGGTATCCAAGAAGCAAGACAAAGACCTTCCCATTCTTCCGTCCCCTCTCCACAAGCAGAGGAAACAGGCCTCCTTTTTGGGGTCATAAACTGTAGCCTGGGATTAGAGGAGGGGTGATGTCAGCATTCCCTTAGCCACTCTGGCTGTATCTCAGGAAGTTGCATGCCGACACAGTCCACTGGCCGTGAGCCCAGTTTACCAGTGTGACTCACTTTGGATTTGCAGTCCTTGTGGCCTGGACTACATTTCAAGTTGACACATTCCTGCGACTGGCAGTTTTCCTCTGGCTAGGTCTGGTTTAAATGCCTCCTCTGTGGGTCGGCATCAGTGAGTTTGGTATGGTTTTGTTTTCTTCTGCAACAGGGCTTCACTGAGTTCAATACCTTACAATTTCTGTTCTCTGTCTTCCCCAGGGCACAGAAATACTCTCTGTAGCACACTGCTGCTGTGGGTGTATGGGGAGGGGTGGTTCTGGTGATTCAAGACTATTTGTCCTACCTCTTCAGTGCCTCTCTCCGTGATATAAAGTTAAAACCAGGTACTGGGAGTGCTCACCTGATTTATGGTTCTTATGAAGGTGCTTTTTATGTGTGTAGGCAGTTGTTAAATTGGTATCCTTGTGGGGAGGATGATTGGTGGAGCTTTCTATTCTACCATTTTGCTCTGACCCCAGCTCTATCTAATACTTTTTAGTAAAACATTACAATACTTTAGAATCTTTGGTAAATAGTCACTACCTGGAACCCCTCAAGCATTCCCATTCCTCTTCTCTCTTCCCTTCTTTCTGTCTTGCAAGGATCTCCCCAGGACTGAACAAAAAACCAATCAATGCCTGGCATAGCAGGGAGCTGCCAAGACCCTGCTGCAGCATTACAGCCAGTATTGGTTCCAGCTGATCAGCATGTTTGCCATACTAGTAAGTATTTGAATATCACCCCTGAAATAAGGGAAATCCAAATACAGAGAGATTAAGTAGATTGTCCATAGTCCCAGTTAGGACTAAAACCCATTTTTTTTGACAGTTAAGTTGAGTTTTGTTTGTTTCACAATACTACCCTATCTTCCAGTGAATGGAATTATAAATAGTGGGTCTTTAGAGTTTACATTTTCTCTCTAAACAGACATTGAAGTTTCATTTAGCTTATTTATCAATGGACAATTTAATATACACTCCCAGCTTTAGTACTTAAAACCTTAATGCTTTTATGAGACAGAAGCAAATAAGAAAAGGATCATCTCTAGACAGTTTGGTTCTGACATTCTTGGAATTTGTGGGAGCATTTTTGATGGTGAAAATGAACGCAGTCTTTAAAAGGAGTATACTTCTATTCTCCTGCATGTCTCATTTGATTCTCTCAACCATCGTGTGGACAGAAACTCCAACTGGCAGGAATGTCTTAAATTTCTGGGCATTTGTAGTGGCTTTACTGCAAGCAGGACCTTTTCTGAATGTAGAAATAGGATTAGAGAAAAGAATTCCAAGTCTGGGCAAAGGAAGTGCCTAAAGACAATGCCTCATAGTTAGGAAGCCTCAGAAGTAAAAAAGCCTTAAAAAGTTTGTAATTCATTGAGGCAAAATGATTTAGGTGATAACCAAGAACTGGGGATGGGAGGCTCTGAGGCTACAGAGCCAAAAGTCAGTTTCTACTTATCATAGACTCAAAAGTAGAAATATGTAACTATAAATTCTAGTGTAGCGGTTTTTGGAATAGAAAGTGAGAGCTTTGGGAGGCCGAGGCGGGTGGATCACGAGGTCAAGAGATCGAGACCATCCTGGTCAACATGGTGAAACCCAGTCTCTACTAAAAATACAAAAAATTAGCTGGGCATGGTGGCGCATGCTGGTAATCCCAGCTACTCAGGAGGCTGAGGCAGGAGAATTGCCTGAACCCAGGAGGCGGAGGTTGTAGTGAGCCGAGATCGCGCCATTGCACTCCAGCCTGGGTAACAAGAGCAAAACTCCGTCTCAAAAAAAAAAAAAAAAAAAAAAAAGTGAGAGCTAACTGTAGAAGAAACAGTATTACCTAGTAGCCCTAAGCACCCTCCTATGGTTGGAATGATCCTGCTTTTCAGCACAAAAGTCTAGCACTGGATTGTTTCAGGATAAAAGATTTAGTGGGTAGGTACAGTGAGAGAATAAAGAAATGAGATTATATCAAGTATTAGCCAAAGAGTGGTTTAAATATTGGAAAACAGTGTCTAAGGTGGGTAGGGAAGGATGTGGAGCTGAGCGTTTGGGAGAAAGTGAAGGCTAAATGGCCTGGATGTCCTCACAAAGTCCAAGTTCAGGTGCAGGAGAAATTAGAAATGCTGGTGTTCAGGAATGCAATGGAGGAAAAGGTTCAGGAGTGTCGTGGTCGACAGCTGAGGTGTAGTAGACTATTGAAGCAACCGTGCTTCTGTGGACAACACAGGCTTCAGCTGAGGAACGATGGAGAGTGAATAGTCTGTGAAGAGGCTGAGAATATCCTGGAATACAGGAGAGAGGATTAGGAGGAGGGAGACTGGAAGAAGACTGGAATGTTATGGCTGCAATTGGAGTGAAGACAGCACAGAGCAGTGTGAGAATGAGACAGTAAGAAGGCATAAATGATTAGATGCTTGGCAATTTGGGGAAGTAGTCAAGGATGGGAAGGACACAAAGCTGGCCTCAGCTTTCCAAAGGAAGCACCCACTGAGGTCACTTCAGTGTTCAAGGGATGAATAGAGTCGGGATGCAGAGCATATGTCGGGATGTTTCTGTTTCAGGTTCGAAATGGAATATGGAGCAGAGTGCCAATGTATGTCCATATACATTCTCTACCTAGACAAGAAAGGATTGCTCTGTTCCCAGAATTCTCGCCTTGATTCAAAGAACTAACATTTCTGGGAGAAGCTAGCTGAGGCTGGCATAGATTATTCTAAAGAGGTAATACCATCCCAAGTGTGCACGCAATGGAATTAGTCCATTAACAGCATCCTGCCCTCATGCAGGAAGCATCATCAACCATCAACTTAGCAACCTCCCCTCCCTGCATTGTTATGGAAAGGGTATGGTTTCTGGGACAGTCCAGTTATATGTGGATTCATTCTTACAACAATTTGCTTCAATAATCTAAAAACTGAAAAAGATGACTTTTCTGTTAATTCATGCCTTTGGAGGAGAACATGCTATTGACTTTATGTTTTTGAGCATTACTTGCTTGGTAGGATGGGGCATGAGTTTGTTCTGTAATAATGCTTTTTAAATTAGTCCTCCTTCGGCATTCTTTAAGTCCCTGGTCCTCATAAAAATGTAGGCTCTAATACTTTACCACTGTGAAGACCGCTTACCTGTTTCTCTTCCTCCAAAAGCTGCCTTCTCCAATCTATCCTGAAGATTATGATATCATATTTTCCCTAAAACATTATGTTTACAATGTCAATATCCTTTGTTAGCTATCTTTGGCTCCCCATTTCCTAAGTGAAATTATCTAGACTTCAGTGTTTTTCAGTGTTTTCCAGGATATGACCAAACATCTTCCCAACTCAATCTTTCCCTTCGTAGGAGCGCAGTTTTCTAGTCGAATTGATCTGCCAGCTGTCTGTTATTCAGGCTTATTAACTCACCTTTATTTCATTTTTATCCTCCCTTTTCATGGAATAGCAACCCATTTTCTTCTGCCTATCTTCTACTTTCTGAATCCAATCTGTACCAATAAAGTTCTATGGTATTGACTATAAATGCCATGGAATTTCACTTGAGGTGCATGTGGTCTAGTCATTCAAGCAACATTTGTTGTGCTTATACTGTGTCTTACCCACAGTTTTAGGTACGGTTAACAACAATAATCACAGTTAAAACATGTGCTACACATTCTTCTGAGTGTTTTTATAATAACTGCTCATTTAATCCACACTTTAACTCAAATAATATTAATGTCAATGTGGACCAGGTACAGACTACTCTCTCAAGACTCTGTCTTTTGGGGGAAGATAGAAAGTGAACGGTAATCATGATATAGTTTGGTAACAGAGTTACCCACAAGGTACTATGAGAATACATACAGTATTAACTTTATATTACCGTGTGACAAATTACCACAAATTTAGTGGCTTAAAACAACACAAATTTATTATCTCATAGTTTCTATAGGTCTGAAGTCTGGGCATGGCATCTCCATATTTTCTGCTCATGGTCTCACAGGGCTGAAATCAACATGCCAGCCAGACTGCATCTCATCTGGGGCTTGAGATTGTCTTCCAAAGCTCACTGGTTGCTGGAAGAATTTATTTCCTTGAGGTTGCAGTAGAATTGAGGGCTACGTTTTCTTGCTGGCTGTGGGCGTGATTTTCTTTCATTCCTGGAGGCCTGTGTAAGGTCCTTTCCACGTGTCTCCACGCATCGTCAATCCAGCAATAGCCCATCAAACCTCCTCCATGCTTCAAGTTTTTTACTTTCTCTTCTGCAGCCAGGTAGAGAAAACTTTGCTTTTAAAGGGTTCATGTGATTAGACCAGGCCCACGTATATAGTTTCTCTTCTGTTAACTCAAAGTCAACTGATGAATAACTGTAATCACATTGATGATATCCCTTTTGCCACATAATATAATCATGGGAGTGGTGTCCCATCATATGGGGAGGGAAATATACATGGGAGAGGGTCATTGAAGGTCATCTTAGAATTCTGCCTGGGAACACATAGAATGACTACTTTACCTAATTTTGGGATTGAAATAAAAATGGGTAGGGCAGGAGGAAAACATTTCAAAAAAGTGATCTCCAAACAGAGAACTAAATGGTTTATGGAAATTAGCCAGGTAAAGAAGGAAATAAATGAAATGGGAAGGAGAGGGCTTCAGTTAAATGTGGGAGGGATAATATTTAATGTAAACCACTGTTCTTTTTCTTCCTGATCCTTCTTTGTCTTCTCTTAAGTATTTTGTGTGAATTTTTATTTCTGATATTTCTCTCTGTACTGTAACCTGTCCCTTTGTTTTAGGTGGCAGCTAGGGAAGAGATATGGCAATATTCAGCTTTCGTGTCCATAGAAGAATGTTTAAACTCGTGGTGGAGTCAGTAGATAAAAGCAATTTTTTTTCAATGTCAAAAGTCAAAACCCCAAAGGACTCAGACTTAGAAATTGGGATTGCAAGACTAAGAATCTGTCAGTCAGTTTTTGCAAATGAGAAGAGATGCATTCTTCTTTTTTTCTTATTTATTTTTATTTTTTATTGCATTTTAGGTTTTGGGGTACATGTGCAGAACATGCAAGACATTTGTATAGGTACACACATGGCAGTGTGTTTTGCTTCCTTTCTCCCCTTCACCCACATTTGTCATTTTTCCCCAGGCTATTCCTCCCGAGCTCCCCCCTCCCCACTGGCCCTCCCCCTTTCCCCCCATAGACCCCAGTGTTTAGTACTCCCCTCTCTGTGTCCATGTGTTCTCATTTTTCATCACCCGCCTATGAGTGAGAATATGCGGGATTTCATTTTCTGTTCTTGTGTCAGTTTGCTGAGAATGATGTTCTCCAGATTCATCCATGTCCCTACAAACGACACGAACTCATCATTTCTGATTGCTGCATAATATTCCATGGTGTATATGTGCCACATTTTCCCAATCCAGTCTATCATCAATGGGCATTTGGGTTGATTCCAGGTCTTTGCTATTGTAAACAGTGCTGCAATGAACATTCGTGTGCATGTGTCCTTATAGTAGAACGATTTATAGTCTTTTGGATATATACCCAGTAATGGGATTGCTGGGTCAAATGGAATTTCTATTTCTAAGGCCTTGAGGAATCGCCATACTGTCTTCCACAATGGTTGAACTAATTTACACTCCCACCAACAGTGTAATAGTGTTCCTATTTCTCCACATCCTCTCCAGCATCTGTTGTCTTCAGATTTTTTAATGATCGCCATTCTAACTGGCATTAGAAGACATTAACGAGGAGATGACTGTGTGGCGTGTCTAGACAGAGGCCTGAAATAGCCTCATTGAGTTTTCTGCCACCCTAGAGAGGTATTTTCCAGCATTCCTGACCAGGCTTAAAGACAAAATGCAGCAGAAGATGCTGGGTAAGTCTGTAGAAACAGACTACGTGGGACCAAAGCCTCAAAGCAGATGTAGGTGGGGAAGTTGCTGATGAGTGGTCAGTGGGGGTGTGGCAGTCCATTTCTGCATTGCTATGAAGAAGCACCTGAGCCTGGGTCATTCCTAAAGAAAAGACATTAAATTGGCTCACAGTTCTGCAGGCTGTACAGGATGTATGATGTTGCTATCTGCTCAGCTTCTGGTGAGGGCCTCAGGGCGCTTTTGCTCATGGCAGAAGGTTAAGCCGGAGCAGGCACATCACATGGCGAGAGTGGGACCAAGTTCGAGAGAAGAGAAAGAGTCCCAGACTCTTTTCAACAACCCGATCTCACGCAAACTAACTGAGCAAGAACTCATCTATCACCCAAATGATGGTGCTAAGCTATTCATGAGGGGTCTGTCCCCACGACCCTGTCACCACCTGCCAGGTCCCACTCCATCACTAGGAATCACATTTCAACGTGACATTTGGAGGGGACAAATAACCGAAACATCAGGAGGATGCCCATCTCAGCAGGTGTCAGCAGGGAGAGTGGACAGTGCCAAGGTCATACCCAAACCTAAATATTCTCTAAGCTTCCCTGGGATTTAGATGTAATCATTGGAAGAAGGGGAAACTAAAAATGCAGAACTGAGAGAGAGAACTTTGATTGGAACCAGAAAAACCTAACGTGACTAAGTTCCTACCTCTAAATGGGGTCTCGAGCTAGAAATCACATTCAATTATAAAAAAAAAAAAAAAAGAAAGTTACATTTCTAGACATCTGAGTTTGTGTCCTGGGAAATTTGTATCTACTGTGTAATTTAGGAAATGTGAAATTTTTGTGACTAAGGAGCCTGGAGAGGGAGGGACTTGAGCTGGATTTTATAGGGTTTGCAGCATGCACAGGAACAATCCAATGTGAGTGGGGGGATGCATGTAGAACATACACAAAGCGAGAGAAGTGGGAATGGGGGCAAAGTTGGGATGAAGCCTAATTGTAAATTCATGCACAGGATTCATTCGGGAGAACACATGGGTGGACATGGAGGGTGAAGCCAGGATATGGAGAGCCTTGTGGGGCCAGGAAGAAGAGGTGCTGCATAGTTTTGTAAGATTTTAAGCTTAATAGGGAGGAAAAAGTGATACGACATTTTTTGAGTGTTTTCTGAAAGCCAGGTACTTTGCAAATAATTTATTTATAATAATCTTCATGGTATTTATAATCCCCATTTTACAGATGAATACACTGAAGTTCAGAGATGTTAAATTATTTATGTGGATTCAAATAGCTGGTGATTGGCAGAGCATGATTTAAACTCTTGTTCTTGGCTCCAAAACCTAGGTATTTCCCACCGTATACTAGGCTCCCACTGGTAGATTTCTGAACAGGAGAGAGGCTTGAAAAATCAGTACTTTGAAAGTTTGGCCTGGCACAGTTGCGAATGATGGACTTGGAGAGCGAAGGCCCTAGAGAGCAGAAACGGGAACCTTAATTTGGGGAGCAAGGGATACAGGCTGGACTTGGGAAATGCTAATGGAAAAGAGAAAAAGGACATATCCAAAAAATGTTTTGAAGAAAGAACCTGTATGAGATAGTTGGTTTCTTTTTTTTTTTTTTTTTTGTCTAAATGATTTTTCTCCCTAGTTTCCAGTGGTTTCACCTACATTATCTATAAACCTGCAGCCGTTAAAAAAATCATAAAACATTAAAAAGGAGTAATAGCCCAAGGCTTTTCACTTTGGCAGGTTTATCCAAGGACATCTAGTTCTCATAATTAGTTTCCAGGTGTGAGCTCTACCTACAGTGTTTCAAATAAATAGCTTAACTTTCTCCACGTTCTACGATAGGAAAATTCATTGAGCCAGTGTTGCAGCTTTCCACACATCCAGAGCTACACAGACTGTTTTTCTGTAACACGTGGGAAAAGAACAATGAAGGCACAGTCCTCTGAGATGTCTGAAATTTATGCCCACGTTTTCCTGGAATTTCTGGTAATGAGGCATCTGCCACAAGCAGCTGGTCCCTATTTCTAAGGTAGGTCTGCATAACAGAGGCTCCGATGTTTTGTGAGAGGAGTTAATTTTCTTTTCACAAGGCCTTGCTATCAACTGCAGTTACATGAACTAAGATAAAAGTCTAGGTTCTTGATAAAGTTCAGGTACATTGGTTGCAAGCAATAAAAACAGATGCAGGCTAGTTTAAGCCAAAAAAAAAAAAAAAAAAGTGAAAAATTCCAGGATATTTCATGGGACTGAAAGGAAGCTAAAAAGTCAGGGACATTGGGCAGCTTTGGAGATCTCAGCAGCAGGACTTGGTGGACTTTTGAAGATTCCTGAAATTGACACAGTCCAGCTACTCCAGTTCAAATTCCCAGGGAATGATTTGGTTGGCCCAGTCAGATGTGGGCCTCCCCCTGTGCATGACAGGTCATTTCCAGAATATGAACTCAGTCCCAGTTAGGCAGGAATCCCATGACATGTCTATAGTAATGGCCTTGGAGTAGGATAGATCTGGGTTAAATCCCAGCTGTTGTCTGTTCATTCATAAATACTTATTGGGGATCTCTCATGTTCTAGACATATTTTATACTCATAGGTGTTTAATAAATGTGGGTTTCCCCTTCCTGGAGAAAGAGACGAGCATAGACTATAGAGACATTTTCTGGTGTATGTGGGTTCTGATAGTCAAGTTCATCAATGAAGAAAGGATTTATAAACATCCGTCCTGACCGTTTCTGTTAAGAATTAAGGCAAGCTCCAGAGGACCCTTGATGGAAAAGGGTTATTTATAGCAGTAAGTGGCTAGGTAAATTACTGGATAAGACTTCAAGATTGAGTTTATAAATGTGAATTTGTATAATTTTTCAGGAGAGTAAATAGTAATACATACCAAAGCCTAAAAATGTATATTTTTTGGCCCAGAAATCTTATTTCTAGGCATTTATCCAATGGAAATAATCTGGCAAGAGTAGAAATAAAATGTTCAACATGGTAGGCTTAAAATTGGAAAATACTATAAATGTCCAACAAAACAAGATTGTTTGCATTTTATCATAAAATATGTGTAATGGACAACCTACATTTTATTAATACCATGTAAAAGGCTATTAAAATGAAAGGTGCTAAGCAATGTGAAGAGCATGTAAAGCTGTATAATTCTCATTTTTTTTTTTGGTGAAAAAGCAAGGAAAAGTGTATATATATAATTTATAATATATAATCCATGTATATAGATATAAAAATATCTACTCTAGATGTTTATAAATATCTAAATAAAATATATCAATTATATTTATATTTATAAATATAAATATGTAGATTTTCTAGATATATATAAATATGTACTATATAACATCTATATATTACGTATATATATATAAATAGAGAAAACAGTACTGATTTTTGAATAGAGCTATTATAGGGTTTTATGCTTTTTGGTTTTTATTGCTGGTTTGTATTTCCAATTTTTTTGATAATAAAAATTACTGTTTTTATAATTTGGAAATAAAAGTTACTCATATCTAAAAAGATCTCAGTAGTGCCAATCTGCTACTTGGGAAAACTCTGCAGTGAAAGACACCGTGTTGCTTAACTTCCTGTTTTAATTAACCCACTGGAGCCTGCTTCCCTTGCTGTTGTCAGAATCTTTAAGGAAAAGCTGATCTTTCCTTTTCCCCTGCCCCCTTGTAACAAAAGGAGCATTAAAGCAGTTTTTCCTAGGCCACTACTGAACACCTCCCATTGAGAAGTGACTTAGGGGCATTAAAGGACAGTGCTGTGAGAAGGCTTGTGAGAGACCTGCAGGTAAAAGTGAGCAAGTGACAAGCAAGTGCTGGGGCCACGGGATCCTTGTCCTCCTATCCTGCGGTTAGGACAGCCAGGAGAAGCCTGTGATGTGTATCTCTGCTGTCTGCACCCTTTATATTAAGTGGATCGTGGGGTAGATCATGCCTCTCCTCGAGCCATAAAAGCAGGACAACAACTCTAGTCCGCTTCTTCCCCTGGGCTGCTTTCATCTTAAAAAGTCTTAAATGAAGGAAAATAGTGGACATCCTTAGAATATCTACCAAGTCCTTTTTCTTTTTAAAGATAAACTTTTCATTCTTTGCTGTTTACCTTGAAATTATAATAAAATACTGTTAAGTGTTTCCTAGACACTATATTGAAAGAAATGATATAACTGTTAATGTCCCCACGTCCATGCTTAGGTAGCTCAAATGCTGATGTCTTTTCTGCTGATTGGTTGACAAGGCCTTTCTCGAATTCAGGGCTCTGTGGAAGAAGACCCAGCTGTATGTTTTGAATGTCCATTTCTGACCACTCAGCATCTCTGTATCTTGGTTTGCTCATCTGTACAATGGAGGTCACAATACCTATCTTAGTAGTTTGAAGTTTAGATATCATAAGTGTTGTACACCTAACACGTGCTCTGGTGCATTAGGATGCGCTAAAATCTGTAACAATATCACAATTAGGACTATATATCACAGCCATGGAAATTCAACTCAAAATGGCTTATGTAATAACATTTATTGGCTGACATATCAGAAAAGATGAGGGGTAGAAGTAGCTTCAGGTGATTGTTTACTTATTTTTCCATAGGTTATTGGCGCACAGGGGGCATTTGGTTACATGAGTAGGTTCTTAAGTGGTGCTTTGTGAGATTTTGGTGCACCCATCACCTGAGCAGTGTACACTATACCCTATTTGTAGTCTCTTATCCTTCACCCCCTTCCCACCCTTTCTCCCAAGTCCCCAGAGTCTTGTGGCTTTGTATTCTCATAGCTTAGTTCCCACATATCAGGAGGAACATATGGCATTTGGTTTTCCATTCCTGAGTTTCTTCACTTAGAATAATGGTCTCCAATTTCATCCAGATCACTGCAAATGCTGCTAATTCTTTCATTTTTATGGCTGAGTAGTGTTCCATCATATATATACCACAGTTTCTTTATTCACTTATTGATTGATGGGCATTTGGGTTGGTTCCATGATTTTGCAATTGCAAACTGTGCTGCTATAAACATGCATGTGTAAGTCTCTTATTTGTATTATGACTTCTCTTCTCCTGGGTAGATACCCAGTAGTGACATTGGTGGAGCAAACGGTGGTTCTACTTTTAGTTCTTTAAGAATCTGCGGCTAGGCGCAGTGGCTCACGCCTGTAATCCCAGCACTTTGGGAGGCCAAGGCGGGTGGATCACGAGGTCAAGAGATCGAGACCATCCTGGTTAACATGGTGAAACCCCATCTCTACTAGAAATACAAAAAATTAGCTGGGCATGGTGGTGCGTGCCTGTAATCCCAGCTACTCAGGAGGCTGAGGCAGGAGAATTGCCTGAACCCAGGAGGCAGAGGTTGCAGTGAGCAGAGATCGCGCCATTGCACTCCAGCCTGGGTAACAAGAGCGAAACTCTGTCTCAAAAAAAAACCCACACACACACAAGAATCTGCACACTGTTTTCCACAGTGGCTGTACTAGTTCCTATTGCTACCGGCAGTGTAGAAGTGTTCTCTGATCACCGCATCCATGCTAACATCAACTGTTTTTACATTTTTTCATTATGGGCATTCTTGCAGGAGTGAGGTGGTATTGCATTGTGGTTTTGACTTGCACTGCCTGCTGGTGAGATTTGATCCACCTTTTCTTTTTTTTCTTTTGAGAGGGAGTCTTGCTCTGTTGCCTAGGCTGGAGTACAGTGGCATAATCTCAGCTCACTACGACCTCCGCCTCCCAGGCTCAAGCAATTCTCCTGCTTCAGCCTCCTGAGTAGCTGGGACTACAGGTGCCCACAACCATGCCTGTCTAATTTTTGTAGTTTTAGTAGAGACCATGTTGGCCACGTTGGTCTCCCTCATGACCTCAGTTGATCCGCTTGCCTTGGCCTCCCAAAGTGCTGGGATTACAGGGGTGAGCCAGTATGCCTGGCCTGATCTACTTAATAGTGGCACCAAGGAAAATTTCTCCTCATCTCCCATTCCACCTGCTTTCAGCATCAGCTCTGCTCTGCCCTCTGCTCTCTTGAAGCTCTAGATTCTTTTTTTTTTTTTATCATAATAGTTCTAGATCACAAATTGTTACTTTCTGTCATAGAGAGGAAAAAAGAAAAAGTTTCTTCTGGTATTTCCAGTTGACTAGAGAGAAGAGGTTTTACTTTACCTGAAGTTGCAACAATGTATTTTTATGTTTCACTGGCTCTGAGTTTCGTTTCATACCAAACATGTTAGCCTGGGAAGTGGATATGTTAATCAGTTTGGGTCAATCAAATTCAATCCCTAGTGTTAAGGTTGAGTTGCACAGCTGAGAATGGAGAAGAGGTGGTTTTGTAAAGGAAATTTCATACTCCCAGAAGGACAAGGGATATATGTAAACTGCAAACAACAGATGTTTATCCCCATGGTTTTAATTTGCGTTTACCTGATAGATAATGCTAGTGAGCAATTTTCATGTGTTTATTGGCTTTTCCTCTTTTTTTTTTTTTTTAAAGTGACAGATTCTTTTGCTAATTAAAACAAATTGTTTCCTTACTAGTTTGTAGGAGTTCTTTCTGCATTTTAGATGTGAACACTGCCAGTGATATGTGTTGCAAATGTCTTCTTTCATCTGGGGCTTGCCTGGGCACTCTCTTAATGGCATCTTCTGATGAACAGAAGTTTTGAATGTGAATAAAGTCCAACGTATCAATGTCATCCCTTATGACATATACTTTCAATGGTTAAAAACCCTTTTCCAACCCCAAACTATCATTGATGTTATTTTTATTGTTTATTTTACCCTTCACATTTGGGTCTGTGACCAATCTGTAATTAAATAGAACATATGAAGCGTTTCATGTTGGGCCTGAAAATGTGTTTTTGGAGAGAAAGTTTTAAGTTACAAATTCAATAGCTGATAGATATTCATGCCTTTTTGTTTCTTTTAGTTTTGGTAGTTGTTTCTTTTCAGAGATGTTTATTTCACCTAATTTGTTAAATTTATTGACATCAAGTTTTTAGTAGTATCACTAAAGGATAAGGAAATATCCTTAAACATTAAAGCGTTATTCTTTTATTTATTTTTATTTTTATTTATTTATCTTTTTTTTGAGACGGAGTTTTGCTCCTTACCCAGGCTGGAGTGCAATGGTGCAATCTCGGCTCACTGCAACCTCCGCCTCCTGGGTTCAGGCAATTCTCCTGCCTCAGCCTCCTGAGTAGCTGGGATTACAGGCACGCACCACCATGCCCAGCTAATTTTTTTTTTTTTTTTTTGTATTTTTAGTAGAGACAGGGTTTCACCATGTTGACCAGGATGGTCTCGATCTGTTGAACTCATGATCCACCCACCTCAGCCTCCCAAAGTGCTGGGATTACAGGCGTCAGCCACCGCGCCCGGCTGCATTATTCTTTTAATGTTTATATTAGGGCTTGGCAAACCTTTTTTCTGTAAAGGGCCAGAGGGTACATCTTTTAAGCTTTATGAGCCATATAGTCTCTGCCATAATTTTTCAACTCCTCTGTTGCCATGTGAAAGCTGAAACAGAATATGTAAATGAATGAAGATGACTGTGCTTCAGTAAAACTTTACTTGTGGATCCTAAAATATAAATTTCATCCAATTTTCATGTTTCAAACAATATTGTTTTCTTTTGGTGTTTTTCTCAGTTAATGAAAATTGTAAAAACCATTCTTGGCTTACAGAATATACAGAAACAGGTGGAGACTAGATTTGGCCTATGGACCATAGTTTCATCCCTGTTTCATAGTGTCTGGATTACTAGCTTCTCTTTCATTCTCAATTGAAAATTGGTGCTTTTTCTCATTTTTTCTTGATTATTTTTGCTAGAGCTTTTCAGTTTTATTAATCTTTTGAAGAAGATATTTTTGGCTTTGCTCCTTTTCTCCATAGTTTGCCTATCTTCTATTGTATTTCTGTTCTTTATTATTTCTTCTACTTTATATTTAATTTTTTCTTCTTAAGATCTTAGGTCACCAATTTTACAATTTCTTTTTCTTTTTTCTCTTTTTTTTCTTTTTGAGATGCAGTTTCGCCCTTGCTACCCAGGCTGGAATGCAATGGCGCGATCTCGGCTCACCGCAACCTCCGCCTTCTGGGTTCAGGCAATTCTGCCTCAGCCTCCTGAGTAGCTGGGATTACAGGCACGCGCCACCGTGCCCAGCTAATTTTTTGTATTTTTTAGTA